ACTCCGAGTTCGGCGTCGCCATTTGAAAAGAGGGGGTTCGATTCGATCGGGCAGAGGGGAATACTGCAGGGTTGGAGGGCTCGACGGAAGACTGCACAACTGAGGGGGCCGCCGGGGATGTGAGACAAGGGGAACACCATACAATGGGAGAGAGAGAGGTTGGCAGGGGGGAATGGTTACACAGGGGGTGGGTGGGAAAAAGAGTCAACGCATTAAAAACGTACCCATTAAGATAATAATAATAATATTAATAAGAATAAGAATAATAATACATTAGATCGTATCGGTTTTACACTTTTTCGCGCGGTGGGTAGGCTCTGACAAGGTAGAGTTCCATCCCAAGTGGTCCATATTGGCGTCGCCTATTCCCGCAAATGGGGAGTCACCCTCCCTTTTGGAGTCTTTCCTCTGAGAGTAGGAGGAGTGAGAGACCGGGTTTATCCACTTCCACAAACTTATCACGAGAGAATTACGCAAAAGGACTCCCCAAAGATCCTGAAAAGATCGCATTGGATGCTCCGCACGTTTTCCAGCCCAGTGGGCGCTGACATTGAAGGAAGGCCGCATAAAATACCTCAGATAATTTGTAGAGGCCGTGGGGGTACTTGAGCGTTGCGCTGCGTGGATGTTGGTGGTTCTTCTGAACATTACGGTTGAATTTGAAGGATCACCGTGCGGCCTTATTAAATGCTTGACTTCCAGTTGACCATTGATGAAAGGGATGACGAGTGAAAGCCAGGAAAAGCCAGGCCGCATCCCCCGACTTCACTCCCAGTGTCCTTTCCTAAAAACTACATTGCCCCCCTCCGTTCAAAGAAAGTCGCATTCTTAAAAAAGGTAGTCTCATCGTCGAAAAGGCGCTCCGAGACATCCCGATACATCCAATCTACGTGATTTAATTGCGATGAGGAATAAAACACTTTTAGATGTTCACGTACAGGGTACTTCGCCCTCTGTGGACTAAAAAAATTTCAGAAATCCCTATTAAAGTTAAGTGATTAGGCGGTGTTGTTGTTCGGCCGTGTTTGGGTATATTGGTATCGTACCTAATGTGAAGAGTATTTTCCTCGACCTGCTCGAGCGCCAGCGAGAATTTAGAAGCAAACCGCGCTATCCGGATAAATAAACTGATAAGTGAAGGAAGCACCTCATAGGGTATATGATCCCACTAAGGTTCTAATTCCCTCATTTATATTGACGATTTAGCAACATATTAGAAAAATAGAGTGATCCTAATATTGGTCTTCATTAACAACCCGCAATATCCTCTTGGAATAGGATGTGTAGATAGAAAACTGATAGAGATGAAGAAAATAAGCAAGGGTAAAAGTAAAATAATCAACACCAAAGATATCCCACTCCCTATCCCCCCCCCTTCACAACAATAGACTCGCGATA